TAACAAAAATATTAAAGGTATTCAAGTAGATGATGCTTTTGTTACACTTTCGCAGTATGCAGATGATACATACTTGACATTAGATGGTTCAGAGCAGTCTCTTAGAGCATCATTGAATGAACTTAGTACCTTTGCAAAAATATCAGGATTAAGGATGGATATTGATTAAACACAAATAATTTGGATAGGCAGTGAAAAATATAGCCAGGAAACATTTTTACTTGAATTACAGTTACAATTGGGGAAAGAGAAATTTACTTTGCTAGGAATTGATTTTAGTGTCAATCTGCAAGAAATGCCTAAGATGAACTTTGACAAAAAGTTAGTGAAACTGAAAAGTCTTCTTAATACCTGGAGCAGGCGAAAATTAACTCCGATTGGGCAAATTCACTTAATAAAATCTTAAATGGTATCGCAATTAAACCATCTATTTATTTCACTTCCTAACCCAGATGAAAAAACTTTTACAAAAATAAATGTTCTTCTTTATGAATTTTTATGGCATAGCAAAACTGATAAAGTTAAAAGAGAGGTTATTGTTCAAAATTATATGGTTGGTGGTTTAAAGATGCTCCATATTAAAAACTTTGTTGATTCTTTGAAACTCAGTTGGATAAAAAGATTATATCAGTCCTCAGGAAAGTGGAATACTATTTTAATGAAATTGATTGACCTATTTAAGCTACTTAATATTGAAGGGGATTATATAAAAGAGTGTCAAAAAATATGTAATAATAATTTCTGGAAAGATGTTTTTGGGCTCGGCATAGATAGGCTAGAAATGTCAGAAAATATGGAAGCTTTCAAAGGGAAATCACTCTTGCAAACTCCCATATGGCACAACCATACTATAACTATTGGAGGCAAATCAGTCTATTATTCACAGTGGTATGAAAAGGGTGTATATTGCATAGGGGATTTTATAAAGGATTTTAATACTTTAACTCTCTTTTCATATAATGAATTTATTCAAAGAAACAACATAAATACTAATTTTCTGAAATGTTATGGATTAGTGTCAGCCATTAGGAAATGTTTAGAAAATTACGAATTCAGGGACTATACTTTTAACCGCCCTGTAATACCAGTGAATATTGCACTATTTTTAAAGACAACTAGGGGTTCAAAAGTTTTTTATGACATGCTAAATAATAAAAGAAATCTCATAGCTAAAGGTAGAGAAAAATGGGGAGAACTCTTTGACTTTAATGATGATGACTGGGTCAGAATATACTTGTTGCCTTTCCAAGTTACTAAAAATTCCAAACTTCAGTGGTCACAGTATAGAATCATCCATCATATTTTAACAACAAATTAATTTCTTTTCAAAGCACATATAGTAGTCAGTCCACTCTGTAACCTTTGTAATATTGAAAGAGAAACCATTGAACACTTGCTCTGGGAATGTGAAGAGGTACAAAACTTATAGATAGCCTGTTGGAAGCACTATATATCCCTTTTACAGTTAATAAACAAACTCTACTATTTGGTAAGATTAATAATAAAAACAATCCTTTTCATAAAGTGGACAATGAAATTATTTTAATCATAAAGCAGTACATTTACAAACCAAGATGTTTACATCAGACACTGAATGTCAATGCATTGATTTATGCTGTTATGGATCATTTTAGTGTGCAGAAATATATCATTAGAACTAAGGAGGATGTGGTCAAAGATAAATTTCAAAACGGATGGAGAAAGTAGGAAAGGTTGCTACAGATAAAGGGATGAAATGATAAGATGTTGTTCGCGCATTCACATTCCCAGAACAGGTGGACAAAAAACTATACAGCATATTTCTGAGTATTCTTTCCTATTTTTTGTTTTTGTTTTAATTTGTTTTTAACTTTATTCATCTCTATTGACCTTATGTATATATATATATATATATATATATAAATCACCAGTCCCTGACAAAATCAGCTCACTTGTTACATCATATTTACTGTTATTCCTCATTTGCAATCATACCGTCCATTCTAGAATGAGACTTACCTTGTACTAGGATGCCTTGTACTAGGATGAGACTTACCTTGTACTAGGATGAGACTTACCTTGTACTAGGATGAGACTTACCTTGTACTAAGTTGAGACTTACCATGTACTAGGATGAGACTTACCTTGTACTAGGTTGAGACTTACCTTGTTCTAGAATGAGACTTACCTGCTACTAGGATGAGACTTATCTTGTACTAGGATGAGACTTACCTTGTTCTAGGATGAGACTTACCTTGTACTAGGATGAGATTTACCTTGTTCTTGAATGAGACTTACCTTGAACTAGGATGAGACTTACCTTGTTCTAGGATGAGACTTACCTTGTACTAGGATGAGACTTACCTTGTACTAGGATGAGATTTACCTTGTTCTTGAATGACACTTACCTTGAACTAGGATGAGACTTACCTGGTACTAGGATGAGACTTACCTGGTACTAGGATGAGACTTATCTTGTACTAGGATGAGACTTACCTTGTACTAGGTTGAGACTTACCTTGTTCTTGAATGAGACTTACCTTGTACTAGGATGAGACTTACCTTGTACTAGGATGAGACTTACCTGGTGCTAGGATGAGACTTACCATGTACTAGGATGATTCTTAGAGTGTGGTCACATGGTTGATGAGACTTACCTTGTACTAGGATGAGACTTACCTTGTACTAGGATGATACTTACCTTGTTCTAGGACGATTCCTAGAGTGTGGTCACATGTTGATGAGACTTACCTTGTACTAGGATGAGACTTACCTTGTTCTAGGACGATTCCTAGAGTGTGGTCACATGTTGATGAGACTTACCTTGTACTAGGATGAGACTTACCTTGTACTAGGACAATTCCTAGAGCGTGGTCATATGGTTGATGAGACTTACCTTGTACTAGGATGAGACTTACCTTGTACTAGGATGAGACTTACCTTGTTCTAGGATGAGACTTACCTTGTACTAGGATGAGACTTAGCTTGTACTAGGATGAGACTTCCCTTGTTCTAGAATGATTCCTAGAGTAGTGTGGTCACATAGTTGATGAGACTTACCTTGTACTAAGATGAAACTTACCTTGTACTAGGATGTGGCTTACCATGTACTAAGATGAGACTTACCTTGTACTAGGATGAGACTTACCTTGCACTAGGATGAGACTTACCTTGTTATAGGATGAGACTTACCTTGTACTAGGATGAGACTTACCTTGTACTAGGATGAGATTATTCCTAGAGTGTGTTCACATGGTTGATGAGACTTACCTTGTACTAGGATGAGACTTACCTTGTACATGTACTAGGATGAGACTTACCTTGTACTAGGATGTGACTTACCTTATACTAGGATGAGACTTACCATGTTCTAGGATGAGACTTACCTTGTACTAGGATGAGACTTACCTTGTACTAGGATGTGACTTACCTTGTTCTAGGCTGAGACTTACCTTGTACTAGGATGAGACTTCCCTTGTACTAGGATGAGACTTACCTTGTACATGTACTAGGATGAGACTTACCTTGTACTAGGAGGAGACTTACCTTGTACTAGGATGTGACTTACCTTGTTCTAGGCTGAGACTTACCTTGTACTAGGATGAGACTTCCCTTGTACTAGGATGAGACTTACCTTGTACATGTACTAGGATGAAACTTACCTTGTACTAGGATGTGACTTACCTTGTTCTAGGATGAGACTTACCTTGTACTAGGATGAGACTTACCTGGTACTAGGATGAGACTTACCATGTACTAGGATGAGACTTACCTTGTACTAGGATGAGACTTACCTTGTACTAGGATGAGACTTACCTTGTTCTAGGTTGAGACTTACCATGTACTAGGATGAGACTTACCATGTACTAGGATGATTCCTAGAGTGTGGTCACATGGTTGATGAGACTTACCTTGTACTAGGATGAGACTTACCTTGTACTAGGATAAGACTTACCTTGTTCTAGGTTGAGACTTACCATGTACTAGGATCAGACTTACCATGTACTAGGATGATTCCTAGAGTGTGGTCACATGGTTGATGAGACTTACTTTGTACTAGGATGAGACTTACCTTGTACTAGGAGGAGACTTACCTTGTACTAGGATGTGACTTACCATGTACTAGGATGATTCCTAGAGTGTGGTCACATGGTTGATGAGACTTACCTTGTACTAGGATGAGACTTACCTTGTACTAGGAGGAGACTTACCTTGTACTAGGATGTGACTTACCATGTACTAGGATGATTCCTAGAGTGTGGTCACATGGTTCATGAGACTTACCTTGTACTAAGATGAAACTTACCTTGTACTAGGATGAGATTTACCTTGTACTAGGACGAGACTTACCTTTTACATGTACTAGGATGAGACTTAACTTGTACTAGGATGTGACTTATCATGTACTAGGATGATTCCTAGAGTGTGGCCACATGGTTGATGAGACTTACCTTGTACTAGGATGAGACTTTTTTTTGTGATGGTTTTATTTTTCCTAGTTTTTCATTACATATACATAAACATGACATTCACGCATCCTCACATATTAACACACGGACATGGATTTAGCATTATCACAATCATTATCATTGTCATCATAATATCATCATCATCAACATCAGAATCATCAGCATGAGCATCAACAATATCATCATCATTCATCTTAATCATCCTCTTTCATATATAATTATTCAATCATCATCATGTAACAGAATCTAGCTTGCATATCTTCAATCTCAGAGTAATGGTTTTATAAAATGAAAAGTGAACTGTCAAACAATGTATCTGTTTAATCAACCAGCTGAATTGATCCTAGAAAAGTTCCTTGATAATCCTCAAAGCACAGATAGTAATGTCTATCAGCCTTGCGATTGGCTAGTTTTATATGACTGGAACCAATCAAATACTTAACGATGATCCTTCTGTTGGGACATGATAAAATCCAAGGTTGCAGAGTAAACGTGTGTATAACTTTATATAAAAAATTCAAGCATCTCTACAAATACAATTGTCTCTTACAGGACACATCGTATCTCTTCATCACGGGGCCAGATGTTGTGAAGGTAGGTGTCAGATTTTTGCATTATTTCAACTTTTGATATGCCCGTCAAACATTTTGATGGAATAAATACTGCATACTTGGAAATTTTAACTGCAGTTTAACTTTTGCCTTTTCCGTCTTTCGTAATGAGGACAAATTGAATATTATAGCAAACATAAGTAAAACACAGCAAACATATCATCAAATGAGGAAGGCAAAATATCTAACACTGGAAGAATAGGGATTTTACTAGCAAAGGGTGAACATTTGACAGTTTACAGTAAACCAGTTCAAACTAGACCAAACAGGACACAACAATACCAGAACAAAGAGATCAGGACCCATATTGATAGAGCCATATTCTTATCCTATAACTCATGTGGCACAGCCCAAAAGGCACATGTAAGCATTGAAAATAAGTATTCAGCTTCAGTCTCTCCCAATCTCTATAACATGGTGGGAAAAGGTGACAAGTGATTGATTTATCAGCACAACAACAAAATGAACTCAAGAACAAAATCTGAGTTTGAGCATGAGAACAGTTTCATGAATACGACCTATGTTAACAGATCAGACTGAAGCATCCAGTGGTACAGGAGATGAAACTTATCCAAATCAACCCCACACAATCAGACCAGGCTTCTGTGTCACAAATCAACCCCACACAATCAGACCAGGCTTCTGTGTCACAAATTAACCCCACAANAGGCTTCTGTGTCACAAATCAACCCCACACAATCAGACCAGGCTTCTGTGTCACAAATCAACCCCACACAATCAGACCAGGCTTCTGTGTCACAAATCAACCCCACACAATCAGACCAGTCTTCTGTGTCACAAATCAACCCACACAATCAGACCAGGCTTCTGTGTCACAAATCAACCCCACAAAATCAGACCAGGATTCTGTGTCACAAATCAACCCAAACAATCAGACCAGTCTTCTCTGTCACAAATCAACCCAAACAATCAGACCAGTCTTCTCTGTCACAAATCAACCCCCCAAAATCAGACCAGGCTTCTGTGTCACAAATCAACCCCACAAAATCACACCAGGCTTCTTTGTCACAAATCAACCCCACACAATCAGACCAGGCTTCTGTGTCACAAATGCACCTGAGGTCACCTCAAGCTAGTATTTGAGTCTGAATTAAAGCTCAGTGTCTGTAATTCATTATCACAAACTAAACCCCTCAAATTGACGACAAAAAACTGAGGCTGCCTAAGAGCAGACTAAGGTTGAACTATGCAAGCTCAGAAAAGAAGCTGTTTGCAATAAAATTTAATGTCGAATTTGGCAAATAATTACCATGAAAAGACCATGTTATTATATATTTTTCAAAATCATCAGAAATTTTGGGGATACACAAAATCTTTACCAGACCAATGTGCTGGTAGCCATGTTTTTGGCAACTTATTAGCCACTTACAGTTGTTTTAATAATCTGTGCAATGAGAGGTCTGCCTTCCAGACGTATTATACAGGAGACCTGTCCAAAGAGTCTAGTTGATGTTTCACGAACCATAAGTAATTCTCGGGTAATTAGGTTTCGTTTCAAAACAAATATATGTTATCTTTGACCACAGAGCTATTTGGTTTGCCTAAGACTTCAGGCATGAACAATGGTATGTAGGGTCGGCCTTTTTTTAATGACTTTTCCAGACCCTAGTTACACTTTGCACCAGTTCTGGTTTTACTGATAGCTGTGGAGACGTATTAGGTGGGTTCTCTTTAAGTCTTGTGCAGGTGTGAAACAGCCCAGAAATAAATAAGATAATTAACAACAAAGGTAACCGCTAGTCTCATTAACACCTGTACCTAAACACATCATAGGGTTCTATCAGTGAAACCAGATAAAAGGGGAGACTAGGGGGAGGGAATGGGAAGAAGGGATGGGGAGAGATCTAGAGTGTTCTGGATGAGTTCAGACAAGTTTCCTATCTAAGAAAACTTAAAAAAATAGTGTATGGGGTTTCCTAAGTCAATGTAAACCCGACTGATTCAGTCACTGCCTTTCAGAAGCTATCTTTTCTCTGGTTGGCTGTTAATTTTGTGTTCTAGTTTAATGAAGATTGATCGGTTGCACATTGTCATTCTACCAAATCAAGTCTTACTTAAGTAATTAGTGTTACTTTTTTATGTGTTTGTTAAATGCTGAATCGAATATTTCTCTAGACACATAAATGAAAACAAAGTTTCAGAGGAAAAAAATACCTCATAATGAAGTGAATGGTTATTAGCTCACCTGGCATGAGGTTAAGTGAGATGATGTCACCCTGGTAAAATACTAGCTGCTTCCTACTGACTTAGCTAGGGAGAATTACTGTTTAGCTCTATCTGTAGAGCGTATAGTAAACCAGAGGTCCCGGGTTTGACCCCTAATGCAGGCACTTACCTCTGTTACACCTAAGTTAGGGTGCAGGAGTCCTTCATCCATTCTGTCAACTTATTTATTTGAACAACTCCTTTTGCAAACTGAAATACCCAGGGTGCTGATCTTTGGTCTGTAGTACATACCTTGGATGGAATCCTATAAGTGTCCTCATATAAATGACTTTGACCTACTTTTTAAGGTCACAGGGGTCAATTTTGTTCGAACACTTGGATACGATTTGAAAACCAGAAGTGCTAATATTGTTCTGATATATAGTGTTTTGGTCAGAGGTAAATTTTATTGTTTTTCGGCCGCCTGGATCAAAGGTTACCAGCATGGGCTATAGATGGTTAAATGATTTAAGAATATCCTTTGGGTGTAACATAAGGCCCAGGGTCCTGGTATTTGGCCAGTAGGTCAACTTTGAGTGTTTGCCAGGGTCAAAGGTTAATATGTGTTATGAAGGGTAAAATGGTTTTAAGAATCTTCTGGAATTTCTTAACGCCCATGATCCTGAAATATGGGCGATAGGTCCTATATGATGGAGTGCTATACCATTTCCTCATATAAATAACCTTAACTTACATTCTCTACTTTCAAGGTCACATATGTTAAATAGGTTCAAAACTTAAGTGACATTTTCTGAGGAACAATAAGGTCCAAAACTTTGAGTAAGATACATGAATGAAGACCAGTAGTTAGAATATTTTCTGTTAAATGTCACTTTGGCATATGGGCCGGGTTAGAATGCTGTAACAACCTACTTCTGAAGTTCTATAAGGCACAGGTCTTATATTTGGCCAGTAGTTATATGGGATGGAGTGCTACAGCGTATTAAGTTTCCTTATACAAATGACCTTGACCTACTTTCAATGTCACACATGTCAAATTTCGATTACATTGATACAAGTTATTTTGATGAGGGAAGAGGCACACAGCATCTGGCAATTGTGATGCAAAGAACTTTCTGGTATTTCATTTGGCTGGGATATTGATTGTAATAGATTGTTATTAGCTCACCTTGCCCGAAGGGCCATGTGAGTTTATGCCATTGTGCAGCATCCGGCTGCCAAGTTTGTTCGAATGAATGACCTTGACCTATATTAAAGGTCACATGGGTCAAATATGTTAAAAACTTTAAACAACTTCTTCTTAATAACCAAGAGGCTTAGGATAATGATATTTGGCCAGTAACATGCCAGGATGAGGGTTACCAAGTTTGTTCAAATGAATGACCTTTACTTATTTTCAAGGTCACAGGGGTCAAATATGTTAAAAACCTTTAAATAACTTCTTTTGAATAACTAAGAGGCATAGGGTTACGATACTTGGCCAGTAGCATGCTGTGTTAAGGGCTACCAAGTTTGTTCAAATGAATGACCTTCGTCCATTTTCAAGGTCACAGGGGTCAAATATGTTTAAAACCTTTAAACAACTTCTTCTGAATATCTAAGAAGCCTAGGATAATGATATTTGGCCAGTAACATGCCAGGATAAAGGGCAACCAAGTTTATTCAAATGAATGACCTTTTCATATATTCAAGGTCACAGGGGCCGATGATATTTTGTCAATAACAGGCTGGGATGTCAAGGGCTTCCAATTTTGTCAAAATGAATGACCTTCGCCCATATTCAAGGTCACAGTGGTCAATATATGTTTAAATCTTTAAATGACTTGTTCTGTATAACCAATAGGTCCAGGGTTATGATATTTTGCCAAAAGCATGCTGGGTTGGAAGACTTTAAACTCTGTTCAACCTAATGTCCTTGTTCAACATTCAAGGTCACATGCGTCATATGTTTAAATCTTTTAATAGGCTCTTATGAATCAAACACCGATATTCTTCCTGTAGCTGCATTTTAGTCCACTTTTAAGATTACAAGTGTGAGATTAATACCAGGTGAGTGATTCAGGCCCATTGGGCCTCTTGTATTAAATTTTCTTACAATATAGTCAAACATGATCAATGGGTCTTTTCACAATGCTATGGAAAAATATCATTCTCAGTAGATCTTCATCTATGTTGAATCGCCATTAGATATGCTTATGTTTTTGTATTGCCCTCATTGGGTGGTTACGGAGGAGAGACAGCTGTGTATCATCAGGGTAGGTCCTGTCCTCTCCATTATCCACATTTAACCTGTTTCTGTCTTGACTTCTGAACTCATTATATCAAATGCAGTAAAAAGTAAAGTCATCATCTTTTTTTTTAAGTTGCGAAGTTTCCATTTCTTTAATTTGTAATTGACTTATCTGCTGAGTTAACACATGTAGCCAATCAGAACCTGTTCCTCCCAGCTGTTATGGTGACACGTGAGGAGTGTTATCTCTGGACAGGAAGGATTGCCGGGTGTCTAGTTTAAATCATGTATCTGTCAAAGTGATGAAGCTACAGCTGTTTACAGAGGCGTCTCTAAGTTCTAGGTGGATACCTAGTGGGGGTTTTGAGCTCCCTCAGTTTTATGGTTGGGGAGGGTGTCTTGAAGTGTTACCTACCCATTGCTGTTTTGTACTTTTGCAATTCATTACCAGGATTTTACCAAGGTCATTTTTCATCAAATTTTCATAAAAATTATAAAAAGGTCAAGTATGAGAATACTTTAGACCAGTTCCTCTTTCCAATTCCCAAGGTCAACATCAAGTTCAC